AGAATTAGTTGTATAGCATCGAAAAATATCATCGAAAGTTTGTGTCCCCGTAAAATATCACTGAAAGGTTATACCGTGAACTAGAAGTAGCATTCCGTCAGCTTTTGTGTATAGAAAAGTCAAACTGACCTTAAACCCAAACATGAAATTACCTATTTGCCCTTACATTATCCTTTCTCACTCATCAGAGACTGAGACGGGAAGCATGCACGCAGTGCTCTCGGTTCCACGCTGGGTCTACCGCTCGCGCCCCTGACGCCTCCGCCGGTCGTCGCGGGTGTCAGCGCGTGGCCACCGTGGGCGTCTCGCGCTGCCTCCGCCGGCCGGCATGCACACGGTGGCCGCCTCCACCAGCCGCCACGGGCATCTGCGCACTGCGCGGTGCCTCCGCCATGCCACTGGCCGCCCCTGCGCACCGCCTCCGCGTGGACCTGCGCGCTACCTCCACTCAATTGGGTGTTGCCCCGTGACTCACAAGTCACAACTATGCATACAACAGGGCCGAGATGTTACTTCAGTTTCGTCAGAGGAATGAAGCAAAACGTGCAACAATGCAGCGCCAAGCCATTCTAAGATTGTACAGTAACAAACTAACAGTGATGCAGAAATGCAAAACAAGGTAATGACAGCTACTACGCATGTACGTGTAACAAACGGTCACGATCAGGTGGCGGCAGGGCGTGGCCGTACCACTCGTCGGCGCGGCAAGCGCGGCGTCAGCGGCGGCCATGGCGGCGAGCATCGCGAGCACCGCCACGCACACCTTGCCCCAGAAGTCGGCGCGACGCAGGTGCAGGCGCTGGGTGGCGGCGGTGGCCGCCAAGGGTGCCAGCTCCAGGGCCACGGCCTCGGCAAGTGCGGCAACAGACGCTTTGATAGGTGGGCTCGCCACGGGGCTCGGTTAGCGCGTGGCTGATCTCCTTCGGGAGCGCCGCGGCGGCCTCAGTGCTGTTCACCTTGGCCAGGCGCCGTAGGCGCGCATCCTCCTTCGGCGTCCACGCGCGAGGAAGCCTCAGGCGGACCACGATGCCCGCCGCGGACCAGCTCGGCTGCTGCTTCGACGTCGGCACCGACTACGCGTGGGCGAGCTCCGGCCCGGCCACGCCCAGGCCATGGCAAACGTCGCGCACGCGATCACTGGTCAGGGGGTATTTTTGACCGAGATAACAGCTCTGTTCCTTCATTTTAACAGAATGCTACTTTCAGTTTATGGTCCAACCTTTCGGTGGTATTTTACGGGGACGCAAACTTTTGATGGTATTTTACGGAGATCGCGATCTTTCAATGCTACACAACCAATTTTCTCTTCAAACGAGCATGACATGCATGGCTAGCTAACCTTGTCCTGTCATGCCGTGCTACCTGTCATGTGCCCAAGGTCATGCCTAGACACAGCCCTGGTAGCTCATAGGCGTACCATGCTGGCACGCGATGCACGACGTGCCCGTGCCATCCCAGGCACGACAGTCAGCGATTGCCTCCAACTCCAAAATTCACAGGCACAAAATCGCGGCATCTTTGATCTCACCATCGCCGAATCTCGCAGAGTACTCCACTTTTCCAACTGTTGTCAACGTCTTTTCACGCCGTCGGGAGGGGAGCGGCCAAAGAGAGAAGGAGCTGGAGGGAAGCCGCGGCCAAGAGGGGAGTGTTTGGAGGAGAGGGAGGGGCGGAAAGCGGCAACCATGAGGGGAGCGCTCGGGTGGGAAGGACATGAGGGAAGAGGCGGACGTCGGGAGGCGAGAAGGAGAGAAGTGGCGGACCACGGATGAAAGGCGAACGCAGAGCAACTAATTTTGTGCCGGGGAGGGAGAAAAACGGTGTCAAGTTTAGAACCGTGCAGAAACAATGGTCACAGAAGAGGTATTCTTAGCGTATTGACATGGCACTCACAATCCAATCAATTAACTGGAAATCGAAGAGCTACTTCAGGATAGCCATAACACGCTTGTAAATCCAGTAATCAGATGAGAGCCGAATAGAAATAGCCCAATAGCATAGGTTAGGGTTTGATTGCTCTAGCCGTGCAAGTGAGACGGCAAGGGAAGGGGTGGGCATACCTGGTGGGGCGTTAAATCGCCGAAGAAGGTCCCGTTGAGAGGGCCCGGGCAACCGGCGCGCTGCTCGGTGGCCGAGGCACCCGGCGGCCCTGCACGCGTCACCGGCGGCGAAGGCGAGCGTCCCGTGGGTAGTGGCGGATCCAGGGGGGGGGCTGCAGCCCCCCGTGAGAGTGATTTTGCTTTGTATTTACTGTAGAAAAACGTGATTTCACCATTAATCTTCGACATTTGTTCTAAATCTCTATTGATTAGCCCCCCGAGGTGCTCATCTTGGCTCCGCCACTGCCCGTGGGTGAGGTGCAGGCGTGGCGAGGTGGTTCGAGGAAGACGCAGGTGCGGCGTGTGATGGGGGGCCGATGACGACAGCGGCCGAGACAGCCGGCGGCCCTAGACGCGGCCCGGTGGCGAAAGCGAGCCTCGCGTGGTTGAGGCGCAGGCGTCGCGAGATGATCTGGTATTGCCGGTCTCTTTGTTGAAAGGAACGGGGAGTTCGGGAGCGGCCTGGAAACTTCCTGGCGGTTTGCGCTGTGTGGAGGGAAGCAGGGCAGGAAACGACAAAAATAAACAGGGTAACAGTAACGATGCCGCCGTACATCTACAAGTGTGTACATCTACAAGTGTATATTTTTTTATAGATAAGCATAGCAACACGTTGAAAAACAAAAATACAAGGTCGGTGACGAGGACATCCCATCCCAACTGTACATGCTAGCTCAAGGATTAATCGTCCACCATCCAACATAAAAGATGCAAATCAAGGATCACTTATAAGAAGTCGTGTCAAGAAACTAGAGCAGGTGAATTTATTCATGATTATAATTTCAATATTTCTAAGAATATTATACTACCTAAATGTTCTACCTTAATGTTGCTTAGGTATGCACGTGAAGACATGGAAGACACGGTGCTATAAAATGGCTCCGTCAGAAAAGTAGCATGGACGGACGATCGGACCCTAAGGAAAAGTAGCACGGACGGATGACCGGACCCCAGACGAAAAAGTAACTAACGTGGACAGACAACCGGACCTCAAAAAAAAACAGCCATAACTTTTGATTACCAAAAGTTACGAGGGTCCATGAGGACATTTTGGAAAGCTTATCGAGTCTAGTTTTCAATGGTACAGTTTCAAGTATTTTGGACTTCCAAGTAACGAGATACGTCCTAAATAGTGAAGACTGCTTAGAAGGTCAACGCGTCTTCTCGAGACAGAATGTTGGTGCAACTTCCTATGCAAAACTGTACCAATATACAATGTTTCGTGATGCATGCTGCACATGGATGGAAAGCTTATTGAGCCTATTTTCACAACCAACAAACGGCTCGACATTTCGACTTCCCACTAAACAGATTTAAATATATGAGAAATTAAACAATATTTTGGAACTCTAAACATATTTAAATCAAAAAATTCTAAATTGTAAAGTTGTAGATCAAGTTGAGAGCTGCAATTTAATATAAAGCTTGTCCTCATCCAAATTCATATGGTAAAATCATGAATCATTTTAGAAACAACTATTTATAAAGGCGAGCCTCTTAAGATGTTCGTCTACGTCAACCGAACTTTAGAGGTAGACTCTTAGAATGCCCACCTCTGATTTACAGATGCGGACGTTCTAAGAAAAAGGCCTTAGAATGTCTGTCGTGTAGATGATTAACAGAAGTGTGACATTGTTAGAGCCCATCTCGTCATTTTCAAAGGCGCCCAAAAATATCCACCTCTATTAATCAGAGAGGACTTATCTACAAAATCCTTTACATAGCAGTGTTGTGTGATAAATTGTGATCAAGTAACTTGTGCAATATAAAATTGTGCCGCATGAGCTCTTCGACCCAAATCTTCCCGACCTGCTCTCTCGTCTCCTTTTCTTTTACTTGCCGTAACATTTCATGGAAGCACCATTTATTGGGGTTGTGTTAACGTATAAAATTCATTGTTTAATTCTCTGGCTAGGGAATTTAGCGGATGGTCTCTCAACCAGCTGACAGCAGAGCTAAATGAGGCTATAGCGAACTATAAGAGTACAGTTGTACATAGACACAAATAACTTGATTTGTCCTAAATGTTGCTATAGTCAGAGATTTAAAACCACGCTAAAATTTGAGTTTTCTCCAACAAATGGTTGGAAACATGTAAGTTCATATAAAATCTTGGTCTGTTAACTTTGTTTGGTACTCCATCCGTCCCTAAATAACTGTCGTTTTCGTTTTATGAGAAATTACTTTAACTAAATGTATATATAATATTAATATTTATGGTACAAAATTAATATCATTAGATAGATCATTGAATTTATTTTTATAATAAATTTATGTAAAGATAGAAATGTTGTATATATTTTTTATAAATCTAATTAAATTTATGGCATGGAAATTAAAAACAAGAGTTATTTAGGGACGGGGTCCTAGCCTGGTAGCCTGTGCCCACGTGAATTATGACCCGTTGGCAATGTGATGGCAGCAGGCAGTGCAAAAAGTCCTTTGAACTGGGGAGAAAGCACAGTGCCTGAACTTATCCCCCTTCCGTGCGAAGCCACGGGGACTGATGTGAAGCACTAGCGATTCAGATGGAGAGCCGCAGGGAACTGACGGGGAATTTGGTTAGAGTTCTTGTCTCACTCCTCTGATCCTAAAGCAAAATCGGAACGGATATTATACCTCTACTCAACCAATGCCAATTAATTAATCCATCTATAGATCGAGAAGGACAAACAATAACAAAACACCTAATGAGTGTTTCTAAGCCCAGATTGACCAAAGAAGGATAATCAAACAAGGTTAATTCATGTCTGAAGATGAACCTGAAGTCACAAACCACTAATGTACATTAACTGCAACTCCCACAAGGATTGCAGCTACGAACATAACAAGATGCAGTAAAATAAACGACATTGTTATCAATGGCCTAATCTTGGATCAGCTAGGTCTACTCATCCTCCACTACCCCCTCGTGTCGTCGTGGATGCTGAAACTGGCGCCACCGGCCTCGGCCGTGGTGGCCTTCTTAGCCGTCTGCAGCGCCTTCACGAGGCCGGCCAGGCACGAGTCCACGGCGCTGTTGGCGGCGCACTTGGGCGTCAGGAGCTCGGCGACGTCGGCGGGGGTGATGTTGACCTCCTGCAGCAGCGCCCTGACGTCGTCGAACAGAGGGTGGGCGTCCACGGCGAGGTAGTTCCTGGCCAGGACCTTGAAGGCCTCGAAGCAGCAGTAGGACATCTCGACGTGCTTGTCCATGCGGCCGCGCCGGATCAGGGCCGGGTCCAGGCGCTCCACGTGGTTCGTCGTGAACACGATGATGCGCTCGCCGCCGCACGCCGACCAGAGGCCGTCGGTGAAGTTGAGCAGGCCGGAGAGCGTCACCTTGCTGGCGGTCGCGGTCGCGTCGCGGGGTGACGACTGCTCGCCCTCGGTTGCCGGCGTCTTATTCGTCACGTCGTCGGCGGCGGCGGGACCCGGCAACGGCGCCTTCGGCTTCTTCTTGCTGCGCTTGCCGGTGAGGTCGAGGGAGCAGTCGATGTCCTCGATGACGATGATGGATTTGCCCTTGGTCTCGATGAACATGCGCCGGAGGTCGGTGTTGGTGGCCACGGACGTGAGCTCGATGTCGTAGATGTTGTAGTCGAGGTAGTTGGCCATGGCGGCGACCATGGTGGACTTGCCCGTGCCCGGCGGGCCGTACAGGAGGTACCCGCACTTCCACGCCTTGCCGATGCGCGCGTAGTAGTCCTTCCCGTTCCGGAACGCGTCGAGGTCGTCCATGATTTCCCGCTTCTTGGCAGGGTCCATGGCCAGCGTGTCGAACGTCGATGGGTGCTCGAACACCACGTGCCTCCAAGTCCCGTACCTGTTGCCAAGAAGTGCAGAACACGGCGGCGTAGGGGTCAATCCCGAGGAAATTAAGCACTGACCACCAGTGCGTGGCCCGGACAACGACAAGAACAACAGGCACCACCTGTCGCCGGAGTTGGTGAAGAGCTTGCGGCGGCGGTTGGCGGCCATGATGGCGCCGCCCTCGTGGCAGACGTGGGGGAGGTAGGATTCGACGACGAGGTCGCGGTGGCGCTGGTGGAACACGAGGCGGTACGTGCGCCCGGCGTCCTCCAGGACGCCGCCGCCGCGGTACCCCATGAGACCATGGTGGCGGGAGGGCGACGGCACGGAGTGCCACCACACGGTGGCGCCGCGGAACTCGTCGGTGACCTCCTCGTTGTCGCCCAGGGTGAGCACGAAGCGGTCGGCGTTGCGCGCGGGCTCGGCCCGGAGCGCCCGCGCCCGGCGCGCGCACCGGTGGCTGAGGTACGCGTTGGCCCGCTCGTACACGTCCCCGCGCTTCATCCGCTCGCCGTCGTACTCGGCGACGGTGACGGTGAGGTAGGGGTCGGCGAGCCCCACGAGCCACCGCGCGTGGCGCCGAAGGAAGCGCCCGGCGAAGCGGTCCAGCTGCTGGCGCGGGAGGTAGGGGCGCAGCATGCTCCACACGAGCATCACGCCGGCGAGCGACGACCAGAGGCCGCCGAACTGCTCCACCAGCCCAGGTGAGACCGGCGCCGGATTCTTCATGGCTCTCGGGTGCGGCGGCATGTGGGCACCTCTGCTGTGCTCTGCTGTGCACTGTGGAATGTGGACTGTGCACTACCGGGTGGTGGATATGTGGAGATGAAAAGGTGCCTGTCAGGGTGTAGGACCACTGGCTGCCGTTGCTCAATGCTCATTTCGTAGTACTTGGCAATGGGTTCGGCCTTTTGCGGCGTCCTTTGATTTTGGACATTTTGCTCGTGATTAACTAATTATCCTAAGCTCGAAAGGACTATTCAATAGTATCATTTTGGAAGTGAGAGCTAAAACTTAGGACCTGCATGGTGCGGCTTTTTGAGGCCCGTTCGGCTGGCACAATTTTAGCTGAAACTGGCTGAAAAACACTATTCTGACTAAATTGTTGTGAGAGAAAAACACTGTTCCGGCTGACAAAAGAAGCCGAACAAACCGAATATGGAGTAAGCCCTCCTCGAGCCTTGTCCATGGTTTTATTTTAGATTTTGTGGAAGTTGGAACCATCTTTGCTACAGTGATCAATAATGCTCAACAGTGCATTCGAAGCTTGTGCTAGATAAAGTGGAAGCCTAATCAAATGGAGCCCCGGTACATGCTTGATTCATGCATTGTGTTTCAATTATGCCCCACCTATTGGCGTGGCATATGACTTACCGCCTCCTCCACATGGTGTTCTAGGCATATGGAAAGGCGGATTCGATGCCGGAGCAGTGTTTTTACCGTCGCTCGGTCTGAGGAGGAAGAAGAAGCTTGTGTTGGGTCATTGGCTGAATACAAGTTAATGTCCCAATTTTCTTTTGGCCTGGCCTAGCCCCTCAAGCCTGAAGGTTGGGTGCCCTGAAAGGCTGAAACACCACACATGTCTCTACGATTGGCTTGAGTCAAGACCCTCCAACCGGTGCCAATTTGGCGAAATAAACCCTAGTTTTTCCCGACATCCACCCAAGCTAGCTATCACTGTCGTGGCACCGACCTACGCCTGGTGTGGCTGCCCCTAATCGTTGGTCGGCTACCCTGCACCATTGTGGCAGTCATTAGAGAGATCAGGTGAGAGAGGAGGGATTTCACAGAGAAGGGGAGTAGGGGAGTGGCAGCAATGGTGTGGTGCCGTTGCTAGTCGCCACCAAGAATATGGAGTTGCGCCGGTAGTGGCTAATGGAAAGGAGCAACAACTGGTTGACATTGGTGTCGGGTGTCGATGAGGCGTCCCAAATGCCCCTATTCGGTGCTACAACACGTCATCAATAGGCATTGCCTCGGCTGTAGTTTTGTGGTGGATATTTTGTTGGTGATTATCATAAGCTCAAAAGCATTATTCAACAACATATCATTTTGAAATTGAGAGCTAAAACTTAAGACCCGCTTGGTGTGGATTATCGGGGCTTTGAGCCATGTGAAATGAACTCTTAAAAAAACTAGCTCCATCGGCTCTTCTCCATGATCCATTTTAATGGGAGTTGGAACCCTTTTTGCTATATTGTTGAACAATGCTCAATTGTGCATTGGAAGCTTATCTGGATACAGTGGAAGGCTGATCAAATGGATCCTTAGTACATGCTTGATTCATGCACTGTGTTTTCAATTATGCCCCACCTACTGCTATGGCATATAACCTACTGACGAGATCCTAACATATAGGTATGTTAAGCCTCAAGTCCAATGGTTCCCTAACGAAGAAGATCCCCCGATCGACCCCTTCAGGATCGCTCGAGGGCTCGGGGGCTATGCCCATCGGGCACGCTCGCGCGCAACCTCTAGCAAGGAGATCTGGCCGAGCTTGACTCGACTGCAGCTTCCGCCTAGGGCTCGAAGGCTTCCCCGAGCCTTGGGCTCCCGATCTACGGCACCTCCGGGCCCGCCCCTTGGCTCCTGCCTGGCTAACAATGCTAGCCAAGGCCTAGGCACAAGAAGACAAGCCCTGGGCTACTGATTCCCGGGAGCTCCTCGGCTGAAAGCTCTAGTTTGGTTTTAGTGAATTGATGAAACCCTAAGTGCTAACCTAGTTTATCAAGTGATCATGAGATAGGTAGCACACTCCAAGTGGTGAAGCAAATGAAGATCATAGCATGATGATGATGATGGCATGGTGATGATCAAGTGCTTGGACGTGAAAAGAAGAAAGAGAAAAATAAAAGGCTCAAGGCAAAGGTATAAATGGTAGGAGCTATTTTGTTTTAGTGATCGAGACATTTAGAGAGTGTGATCACATTTAGGATTGATAGCCGTACTATTAAGAGGGGTGAAACTCATATCGAAATACGGTTATCAAAGTGCCACTAGATGCTCTAACTCATTGCATATGCATTTAGGATCTAGTGGAATGCTAACACCCTTGATAATGTTTGTGAAAATATGCTAACACATGTGCACAAGGTGATACACTTGGTGGTTGGCACATTTGAGCAAGGGTGAAGAAGTTAGAGGTGAAGAGGAGTTAGTCTTGCTGGTCGCTGAGTGACTGGACGCTGGTCTCAGAGGGACCGGCGCGTCCGGTCAAGTGTGACAGCATAGACGCTAGCGTCGGTCATCGACCGGATCGGACGCTGGGTCTTGGACTGGCCGGACGCTGAGGTCCAGCGTCCGATCGTGTTGACCAACAACGCAGAATGAAGTCAACAAGTGACAGGACGCTGGCTGTGTCCGGTCAAGCATGACCGGACGCGTTCGGTCATGAAATATCGTTTCTGGAACCTTACTGGAAATGACCGGACGCTGGAGGCTCAGCGTCCGGTTAGTTTGTGCGCAGCGTCCGGTCAATAGATGATCGTTGAAATCTGACGAACAACATTTGAAGCAGGGGACACATGGCGTGTATCACATTACCGGACGTTGACGATCGGACCGGAGCGTCTGGTCACCCCGCGTTGTGCCCAGTGAAGGGGTACAACGGCTCTATTTCGTGGGGGCTTCTATTTAAGCCCCATAGCCGGCTCAAGCCAGCCCTTTTGGCCATTTGCATTGACATAGCAACCTTGTGAGCTTAGCCAAAGCCCTCCCACTCATCTCCATCATTGATTCATCATCTTTGTGAGATTGGGAGAGAATCCAAGTGCATTGCTTGAGTGTTTGCATCTAGAGGCACTTGGTGTTCGTGTTTCGCTACGGGGTTCGCTTGTTACTCTTGGTGGTTGCCGCCACCTAGACGGCTTGGAGCAGCGAGGATCATTGAGCGGAGGTTGGTGATTGACTCCTGCTCCAATCGTGGTGATTGTGAGGGGTTCTTGACCTTTCCCTGGCGGAGAGCCAAAAGGTACTCTAGTAGATTGCTCGTGGCTTGTGTGATCCTCATCTTATGTTGGTTGTGCGGCACCCTATTGAGGGTTTGGCATGTGATGCCAATTAGCACGTGAACCTCCAAGTGAGTGAATCGCCACAACAAGGAGTAGCTTGCTGGCAAGCAAGTGAACCTCGGTAAAAAATCATTGTGTTCATCATTTGATTCTGAGGTGATTGGTCTTCATTGTTATTCATTCTTGTGATTGATTGGCTCCTTCCTCGACACGGCGGTATAACCTTCTTGCTCACTCTATTTACATTACCGCAAACTAGTTGTCAAGCTCTTTAGTGTAGCTAGTTGTGAGAGCTTGTTAGTTTGGTTAGTGTGGCTCTTTAGTTAGCCTTTGAGAGCACACTAACTTAGTGTAGTGACATAGCTATTGTGTGGATAGAAACTATATAAACTAGAATTGTGGTAGGTGGCTTGCAATTTTAGTAGGCTAGCGCAACACTTGCTTCGCCTCATAATTGTCTAACCGGTTTGCTAAGTGTTGTTGTAGAAATTTTTATTAGGCTATTCACCCCCCCCTCTAGCCATTAGGACCTTTCAAGTGGTATCAGAGCCGAGGTCACCGTGATTTGAGGCTTAACAACCTTCGGTGTAAAAATGGTTCAAATCAACAACATCAAGAAGCCACCCCAATTTGATGGCTCAAATTATCCTTATTGGAAGGCTAAGATGACAACATATATCAAGTCAATCAATTGGAAGATTTGAAAAGTGGTAGAAACAAAGATTGAGATAGAAGATGAAGAGGCTCCCACCGCCGCCAAAGAAATACTTCTCCAAAACAATGACATAGCTCTTAGTGCCATCCATGATACTTTGGATGAGAGAACCTCTGAACAAATCAAGAACATTGAGAGTGCTCATGAGGCATGGAAGAAATTGGAGGAATCATTTGAGGGCACTCAAGCCGTGAAGGGTGCAAAGGCATATATTCTTCAAGAAAAGTTTGCAAGCTTCAAGATGAAGGAGGATGAAAGTGTGTCGGACATGTTCCATCGGATGGAGGTGATTGTCAATGATCTCAAAGCACTTGGTGAGAAGATAGAGGATAAGGACTTCTCTAATAAGTTCTTGAGATGTTTACCCACAAGATTTGGCATGTTGGTCACCTTGCTAGTGAGGACCGGGTTGGACACAATGACACCAAATCAAATCTTGGGAGATATTATGACCGATGATGCTTATAGAGATGATGATGAGAAGGAAGAAAAGAGGGAGAAGAAAGATGACAAGAAGAAGAGCGTGGCATTCAAGGCCACATCATCCAAGGACAAAGGCAAGCAAGAAACATCAAGTAAAGAAGATGATTCATGGGATGATGATGATGATGAGAAGATGGCTCTCTTTGTCAAGAGATTTGGCAAGTTCATGGTGAAGAAGGGATATCATGCTAGAAGAAAGAAATCTTCATCCAAGAACAAGAAAGAGTCAAGAAGGTACTTCAAATGTGGAAGCAAAGATCATCTTGTTGCTCAATGTCCATACAATAGCGACAATGATGATGACAACAAGAAGAACAAGAAGGACAAGAAGGAAAAGAAACAGAAGAAAGACAAGGTGACCTTCAAGAAGAAGAAGGGTGGTTCATATGTGGTCACTTGGGATAGTGATGACTCCTCAAGTGATGATGATGATAGTGATAATGACAAGACCATCAAGAAGAAGGCACTTGCAAGCATTGCAATCAATGAGAAGCCTTCTCTTTTTGACACTCCATCATGCTTCATGGCTAAGGCCACTAAGG